GAGAAGGCTATAGGAGGTTAGGTAAGAGCCAGTTGGCCCCGTGTCCACATAAGCCTGGAGAACTGAGAGAAGGCTATAGGAGGTTAGGTAAGAGCGTGCGACTGCAGTTCCACTTTCTACCTTCACAGGTCTATTCCAAACACCGCATGTGGAAACATGTCTCTGGGCCCACTGGCTGGCTGCAGACAAGTTCTCTCAGTAAGAATGCTGGTCTTTATCAGGGTACTTTCAACAGTTTTAAAAGTACTGATTGATTAAAAGTGGCTTCTGAGGGGATTTGCTGGACCAGTTAAATTCAAGGCAGGCATACCAGCCCACAAGGCAACTGCTGCCATTGAGTCAATGCCACACACAGCGACCCCACAGGGCAGGGTAGAACTGCCCCTGTGAGTTTCTGAGATGCCAACTCTTTACAGGGGTAGAAAACCCTGTCTTTCTGCCACAGAATGCAGAGCGGCTGGTGGTTTCGAACTGCTGATCTTTTGGATCACAGCCCAATGCATCACCACTGCACCAGGGGTCGGGAGGGAACTAACGTCTAAGCTAGGTTTCTATTGCTGGTAGCCAAGAATTCTAACTAAAACAAACACCCTTTAGGATATTGCTTTTTCTGGGGTGTTATTGGGCAAAGAAATTCCCTGGCTTCTCCCCTCCAGTCTAGCCAGGATTTCCTAACGTCCACAAGCCAGCTAAGACCAGAACCCATGGCTCCCAAGAACCAGTCCTTCTGCCACACAGAGCAAAGTGGCAGACGGATCAGACAGCAGACTGGCCACCGAGCAGCACAGAGGCACTGGCAGCACAGCAAGTCCAGCTGAGGTTTGTGACAGCAAGGGGGTGTCCGGGGCAGGCCCAGGCCAGTTATGAAGACTGAAGACCTGGCATTACTGGTGGGCCCGGGCAGTCTGAGACCAGAGCTTGCCAGAGGGATTGTCTGAGCTAAGCCAGACTCGGATGTGGACGCAGTCATGTGACCATGGCCCACCCCAGCAGGGTTCTCCTGTCTCCCTCTACACTTGTTGGAGACCTCGTGCTGGAGGTTGGCAGCAAGCAGACAAAGAGAAAGGGTTACAGGAGAAGGCAGTTCCATACAGCAATGCACAGACAAGGCTCCGTATATACCAGGAGACTGGCAGGGGTCACTGTCAAGAGGGAGGGGCCTCATAGAAGGGCGGTGCTTATCCAAGGACAGAAGGCCAGGGAAGAAGGAGGGATGGAAACAGGAAACACGGGGAGAAAGTGGGATCCGTGGTGGGATTGCAATGCATGAGTTGGAATAAAAGGTGTGGGCTGTTGTAAGTAAAACCGCGATCTGCTCTGTAAAGTGTCACCAAACTCCAATAAAAAAATGCAAAAATCCAAAGAGAGTTCCGTGTGCTTGGATCCAAAGCAGCAGCAGTGCAGCGCACAGGCGACGTTCCGCAGTGAGCAGTCTGCAGCACGAGATCTCGAACAACAGAGTCGTGGGTGAAAGGAGAGAGCGGGCGGTGCGAGATATGAAAATAATAATAATTTGTAATTTATCAAGGGGTCCCGAGTGTGGGAGGGGGAAAGGGAGGGAAAAAAGGAGCCGATATCAAGGGCTCAAGCAGAAAGAAATTGTTTTGAAAATGATGGCAACCTATATATAAACATGCTTGACATAACTGATGTATGGATTGTTATAAGAGCTATAGGAGTCCCCAATTAAATGATTTATTAAATAAATATTTTTTAAAAGAGGGAGGGGCCTACTGAGGGACAGAGGTAACTAGTCTTAGCTTGAGTCCTTTTCTTTAAAGAAAAAAAAATACTAGAATTCTAAGCATACAATTTTTAAATACTTTTTTTTTTTTAAGAAGAAAGAAAAGAAACAGGCTGAGGGACAGCTCTTCCTCCAACACAGGAAGGAGGAGCAACCGCAGCAGAGCAGTGGGGAGTGGCTGGGGCAGCAGGTCACCTCCCAAAGAGAAAGCAGCATCTTCGTTACAAAGTAGGACCCAACCAGCTCGGGGATGACCCACTTCCTGCCTGCCTCCCCAGTCACAACACACACTCTGAAATCACTCTGGCGTCCACTGGAGAGCGGCCTGCTTTCTGCCAGCTTACGGCTTCTGCCAACACAGCTCTTTTCAGACAGTGTTGTTGGTTTCTTTGGAGCAGATTCAATTATTTTTATTTCCAAGAAATGAGAAACAGGTCAATTAATTTTGTTGGGCAAGTTTAATAACCTGCTTGAGTGAAATCTAGCGACGACTTCCGAGGAAAAACATCCACCTGACAGTCCCTGGGGTCACAGCAGGCACCCACCCTGGGTCACTGGACCAGCGACTCAGTCTCCCCCTTCAGGTGTCACCTGAGAGGACCAGCCCCATAATCCACTTTCAGGTGGCAGGAGACGGGAAAACTGGGAAGTGGAATTCCATGCAACCCACTCTCCGGGTGCTTATAAGAAACACTTGTTGGCTGACTGGCAAGTTGGAGCCTGATGAACCATACATTACCGTTCCCTTGCTAAGAGCTCGCCTAGCTTCCCGACGGTTGTGCATGATCACATTGCGAGGCTGCGGCTGCCAGGCCCACATGCTGCCTCAGCTTTCCTCGCCCTCCACAGTCACTGGCACAAAGGCTCCAGCGGAGCCCTCCACCAGGGCAGTGTCTGGTGGCTTGGTGCCCGACACACATTAGCCCAAGCCCAGCGCTGGGGGTGCAGCTTGGCATCTCGATGTTTTCATCACTTGATTCTGGACCAGAAGGTGCTGGGGAGACAGCCGCGGTGGGAGGCGGGTAATTTTATTTCCCCACCATCTGTGCACATGACACATGAGAACACAACAAAACCACCACATGTCACCAGACATTCTATCCGTTTCGGAAGAACGCGGCTGGCAGGACAGGCTTTTCTGACCACTGAACGCGGACCCTTTCTCTCTGGCTTCCAATGGCCCCGCAGAGACGTCCACGGCTCAGGACTGCCTGCCTGATGACCGCCACTCCACTCCTATCCTGGCTATGCTGGGACATGACGCGTGACAGTGTTGGGTTTGTTTTCCAGGGCACTGTTTGATGTCTCCCTTCCTCTGACTTCTGTTTATTTTGTTCAGAACAGAAACAGCAGCCCCCACAGAAAACGCTGCAATCAAGTTTAAGTCCAACTCACAGCGACCCTGTAGAACAGAGTAGAACTCCTCCATAAGGTTTCTAAGGCTGTCATGTTTTACAGGGGAGCTCTGGTGGCGTAATGGATGTGATCCACAAGACTGGCCGTTCAAAATCACTAGCTGCTGTTTGAGAGACAGCGGGGCTTTCTACTGCTGTAAAGAAGCACTTGCACTCTTGGGAAACTCACAAGGGCAGTTAGTTCGACCCTGTCTTATTGGGTTGCCAGGAGTCGGCATCAACTCGATGGCAGTGAGTCTGGTTCTGGTTTGGGCTCGGTGCTGGGCTATGGCTGTTTGCAATGAATACGGTGCCCCAGGAGTTTACGGTGTGGGAAACCGCAACCTTTTGTGAACTGACTGATTCAATGGATGTTTTTAACAACTGGTAAACTCCTCTGTGCAGATCTGTACGAAGTGTCTAACAGAAACTCAAAGATGCTGGGTTCCACTTAACCATTAAACACTCTGGGCGCCTGGCCCAGAAGACGTTAAGAGAAGCCTCCCCTGCCCCGGAGAAGCTTGTCATACACACAAATATGGTGGTGCTTGCTCTTGTTAGGTGCCATCAAATTGGCCTGACCCACAGCAACCTTTCACACAGCAGAAAGAAACCCTGCCCGGCCCCCACCATCCTCACACCTGTCCCTCTGCCTGAGCCCATGGCTGCAGCCGCTGTGGCCGTCCTCTTTTTCACTGCCCTTCCACCAAACATGAGGTCCTTCTCCGAGGACTGGTCTCTCCTGACAATATGTCCAAAGTATTCCTGAACAGACAGAAGCACGTGGTGAACATATGCCACATGCTGTCGTCGTTGTAAGCTACCGTCAATGTGGCTCCCAAATCATGGGGACCCTGCACAACAGAAGTTGATGCTGCTCAGTCCTCCCCACCACGGGCGGACCACACTGGTGAGCTCGAGTTTCGGAAGGGGTCACCAGGCATTCCTTCCTACCCTACCTTAGTATGAAAGCTGTTCAGTGTTATAAGCACACCCAAGCTTCTGCTTACAGATAGGTGGTAGTTACAGGCGAGGTGCACCGGCTGCAAATCCAACTGGGTCTCCCATGTGGAAGGCAAGAAGTCCATTGCTGCATGACCACTGCCCTGGGGAGGACAGACTGACCTAAAGTTAGTTTGTGGTTCTGAGGCTAAGCGCTCACTAACTTCTCACTAGAGGCAAGCTGGAAAACTAAGAGATGGGTTTAGAGTGGAAGTTAAGGACTGAGTGGGTCTAGAAGAATAACAGGGACGTACTTATGGGGGGCAGTGAGGGGCACTGTGAGAAG